CAACGACTACGGCATGCACGACTGTGAGTACACCCCCCACCCCCCCAACCGGTGTTTGCCATCGGGGTTGGGTTTCGTCGCTTGACAACGACGTTGTAAAACAAGCCCATTCACTTCATGAACTCGGCAGCCAGGTTACCGTTTTTGTTTTACCTCCGGTTTTTTTTTTGGCGGTAACCATAATGGTGGTCGAGTAGATCATGTTGTGCGGGGTGGAGAACCCTCACTCCGCGCAAGGGGGATGATCGCACCACGTTGTGTTAAAATGGTCAAGCACCCTCGAGGCAGTTACACAGTGCTTACAACTGTCTCTGGAAGTGAAAGCACCAGAAAATAAATTATGTCATACGCAGCTGTCATCCGTATGCAAGGAAGTAAGCACAAGATGCTGAACACATTTAGCAGAGGATGCAGCGCACCCTTCATGCGACTCGCCGAATATCGCGCTTGGTGATGTGAGAGCCTGGTCCGGTGAGAACCCGGCGTGCTCCGTCCCGGCTTTGTAGGGATGCGAGGTCAAACGGCACGGCATGCACGACTCTGAGTACCCCCCCCCTCATCAAGCTCTGTTTTTTTTCGTTGTGGTCGGCAGGTATTCGAGTGCATGCGGCGTCTACTGCTTACTGGGCTGCTGGTATTCGTCGTGCCCGACACGCCGGGACAGGTGGCTTTCGGTTGCGTCTTCGCTTTCCTTAGGTGTGTGCGTGTGTGATAGCAATCGTTCCTGCTGTGGTCCACATTGTTGTTGCGTCTTCGCCTTCCTTAGGCATGTGTACGAAAAGAAACATACCTGCCGTCGTTGTTGTTGCGTGTTGGTTTCCTGAAGGTTTGTTCTCGGGAGTATACCGTATATGACACAAGATAACACACCCCCTTGACCGATTTTCGAAGCTCGATTTCTCAGCTGCAGGAACAATCACAGCGCCGAAAAGGGCGGCGTTGAAACCGTCTCGTCGAGAGCTTTTCGAAAAATTATCATTTCGTTTATGCATCCTTTTTGTCGTGGAGTAATCGAGCTTTGAAAATCGGTCCAAGGGGTGTGCCGTCTTGTGTCATATACGGTATGGACAAACGTACCTGCTGCCTTCCAGTCATTGTTGTTGAGGTCGTTTATTTGCGGAGTTTTGATGTGGCATGTTCCTTCGTGGATTGGCATTAACGCTGAATTTGTTTACCCGTTGAAGTATTGGGTTACCTGGAGCGTTTTGTTGAATACTCAGTACTCAATACGGAGATGTACCTGTTGTTTTCCACCTCCTGACTGACAATCTGGTCTGGTGTGTTTTCCGTTGTCTCCCCCACATACCATGAACTTCGTTCGGCTGCGTGGTTGGCGAAACCGAACAGCCTGTTGGCGTTTGAGCTGCTTCGGCCCCACACGGACCACCTAGACATGCAGCTCTACCGTACGGTGAGAATGAAGATCGAACCTCGTTCAAAAGAACCTCCTTCCTCTCTCCTCGCTCACGCGCAAAGAATGTGTGCGTATATATGTCCCGCCTAATTTGGCGCCGGTCTAGACCACGCACCTTTCGGTGTAGACTACCTGGTGTACGCTTGATGGAAAATCACACCGGAGGAATGGCACACAGGAGTTTGTTTTTTTCATGTTGACTCTGGTCATTTCAGTTGTGTACTGCTGTCGTAGCATACGCCATTAGATAGTTGGATGCATGTATTCACAAATGCTAGTCGATTGGACTACTCGTCATCAGTCTATTTGGCTAACATTATTTAATAGCATGTCGTCTTTACAGGCCAGTAGAGGAATGAATGAATGAATCTATGTTTTGGAGTACGAGGTCTCATCTGCATCGCGGTTGGTGAATACAACTGACACATGAAACGTCTACTTTATCTTTCTGACGCACACGTACAGCCCCAGCCCTAGCCTTTCCCTCCCTCCATTCGTCCCTACCCCTGCCCCCCCACCCCCCCTCAATGAAAACTCCATCAGGGATGCCTGGTGATCTTCTTCACCAATTTCCTGGTGAGGCCCTGTTCCGGCTCTTATTCGGTCGTAATGGTGACATACGTGTTGCTACTTGTATGACGAGACCAAGATTTGTTGTGGCTCGCGTTTGGTTGTAACAGTACCGTGAAGGAAGAGCCGTACTGACTGCCTTTTTTCTTTGTGTTCCTTGCGTCACGATTTTTTTCGCGATTAAAACAGGCCCTGATTGACGCCTTGTGTGTCTTCTCTATTCTAGGTCATGCTATGCCTTTTTTTTTGAGGTCGATAAAGCATGCGCTGATGATTTGTCGTCCTAATTGTTATGTTGTAGATCTTAAGTGCTCCTCAATTAGCGTTTTTTGTCGCGTAATCAAGCAGGCCCTAATGATCAAGGCCAACGTAGCCAACCCGGACTCTAGGGGCTCGGCGGTGTACTCGGTCGTGCTGATCATCGTCAACGTGCTCTTCTTCCTGTCCATCTTCTGGAATACCTGGGCCGCAGCTAAGGCCTCCTTCAGCAGACGCCACGTGCAGGCGAGACAGAGACAGAGACTGACAGACAGACAGACAGACAGGCAGTGAGGTCCCGTTCGCGGATGATGATGATGATGATGATTGTTTTTCTTGCATCATTTTTCGGAGGGCCTTTTTTTCTTCCCTTTGAAATCCCAGTTTCCCTTCCGTTGGTGACGTCTGGTTGCCACCCCCACTGCATGCAGCATACCTTGGTTCTGATGTTGACGCGCTTGCCCGTACTATTCAGGACATGATGCTGGGAGTCGACATCGTCAACGAGAAACAGCTGGACAAGATCATCGGCCCCAAGAAGGCCAAGGCCAAGAAGACCAAGCAGCAGAAGCTCGACGATGCCCTCGGTCCCGACGATGGCGCCGGCATCGATAAGGCCGTCGAAGACGGGAAGCTGGAAGACCTTGAGGCTGCCCCAATCTGGGAAGCGGACCCGGACGACCCTCCCGACTCGCCCGTCGACATCAGCAGCAGGTCAGATGATACGCTACCGTTGCATTCGTTGTGTTGGCAGGGTTGCATTACTGTGTTGCCAACGGTAGTCTTCGTTTTCCGAGGTTGAGCATTCGTTTTTTCGAGAGTTTTTTGCGACACCAGGACGGCAAGAGACGGCACAATTAGCATTGGTGTTCCATGTGTGCCCATCGGGAGCAGCCGGAGTCATTTTTTAGGAGTTTTTTCTTTGTGAGTCTTTGCGTCGACGTCACCAATTCTCACCTGTTTTTTTTTTTTTCGGAAACTTGTGTTCTCCACAGCAGAACTGACGAGAAATGGTGGCGCTGGAAACGTGTGGTTGACGAGGGTTTTCCGAAAAGCATGTTCGTTTTTGGTTCAACGTAACGCACACAAGATAATACACCCCCTGGACCGATTTTCAAATTTTCTCAACAGAAAGAGAGTCCGCCGAAAACGGTGGCGTTGAGGCTGTCTCATCGAGAGCTTTCCGACAATTTGCTGGTTCATTTTTATATCCTCGTCGTCGAGACGTAATCGAGCTTGAAAAAATGGTCCAGGGGGTGTTTTGTCTTGTGTCATTAAAGGTAGACACCCTTTTCGTCGTGAAGTAATCGGGCTTTGAAAATTGGTCCAGGGGGTATGGTATCTGATGGAGTAGTCGAACTTTGAAAATCGGTCCATGGGGTGTGGTATCTTGCATGATGTAACCACCACTACGGTGGCTGGAGACCGGTACATGGTGACCAAGCCTCGCTTCTCGATCGGCGGGATTGGACGAGAGACGTACTACTCACTGAGATTTACGACAAGGCTACCGAACAACACTTCTCAACCTCCCACCCCCCCGATCGATCGTCTCCGTGTTCTGTCGTATCCTTACAAGGGTTTTTGCCCGGGACCCCGTTGGGCACTCGGTTGCGAGCACGGTGGCGATACCCTCCAATTTCAGGGGGGCTCCGTCTATCAACGCGTCTCCCAGCGGTGCCGGCGGCCCCGGCGTCGCTGGCAGACGTTCCGTAAACTCTGTCGATTCTGTTTCTGTTTCTGCTTCTGCTGCTCCTGCCCGTAGGGGGGGTGGGTCGTACCCGGTAGCGTGGGGCGGCGGAGGGGCCCCCGCGACCGGCGGTGGGGGGGTAACAAGAAACGCCGGGGACCCCGATGCGGGGTCGTCGCCGTCGGTGGAAGCGACGGAGTGAGAAAATGAAGGGTACCAGCAACGGACATGGTTGGGCCGGGCGGTGGGTGGTTGCTTCGCCGTTAGTGCGATGTTGACGTCGCTCGTTGTTTTCGGCAGCGGCCTTGAGGAGAAATGTCCCTACCCCTATGGGTCACGGCAAAAGATGATCAATGTGTATCGGAGGCAAGAGTTTTGTGCAATGTTTTCTCTTTGTCGTGAGAATATCGTTGTTTCGACCTCTGCTTGCCGTATGTACCAACAAACGCACGGCCTGAGGAGGATAAAAGCGGGAGGGAGGCTGGTGAGCTTTTAAACCACAACAACAGCCCACCAGGCGGACCAGCCAAGTGATTCCGGGTGCAAAATATTTTGTTTCCTGTGAAATGGGTCCAGTCATTGCTAAGCCCCTTTTCATTCATGCATTGACACATGGGTGGTCGTGCTGGGCATGATTTCTCGACTGTTTCTTTCTCAGCGGATGCCGGCCTGTGTAACACTTGATTCCGGCGCGGAATCTTGGTTGTGTTTCATTTATTCGCGGATGACAGCCACTGTGTTGCCAATTGACAGAAGCACACGCCTTCCGATAACCAGGCCTTGCCGCTTCTGTTGGCGACTATTGTTTGCGGGAGGACATGGGGGTCTACGGTTGCCTGCGCAGCTCTGTGAAGATGGTTGATAGGAGCATCCACTCAAGATTTGGCCAGCTGTCGACATTTGGACATGACGTGCATGTGGTAGACGAAAACCCCAGCCTTTTTTTCATGTATTTTTCTTTATGCTAAGGCCCATCATCACTTGTTATTGTTATGGCTGGTCCTTCTGCGGCCCCTCTTTGGGGCATACTGTAGAGTGAATGCCTTCCGGTGGGTGGTGCTTTCTTGGCTCTGTTGGCGCCCTGGTCGATTTGCTCTAATCATCTCCGGGTGTTTTGTCCTTGTTTTTCGTGTGTTTTTGGTTCATTTTTTACATGCAAACGATGATACAAAATCTATCTCCGTTCAAGCGTTCATATCTTGGTCCTCTCGAGCCAATTTTGTTTCGGGCATGATGGCTTCAGGTCTTCAGGTACAAGGGCATGTGTTTGCGCAACAAACGTTGCATGCAGAATGTTTTTTGTTAATGGCGTTTTTTTTCGTCTTTCGATGCATGAGGGTACAGTCTACCAGCAGGATACTCGTGCATGTTTACATGTAAAAGCGCTGGTGGCGCTCGATTACTTTGTTTAGTTCGGCCAACTTTTTTTTTTTGTTTCGCCTTGTCCCGGTATTATAAAGCAGTGCTGTGACTAACCGGTGATTTTGCTCAACCGCTGGTTAATTGCGCACTCGTACATGGTTGCATGTGAAGGCGCTGGCGGCGCTCGATATCGTTGTTTAGTTCGGGCTACTTCGTGATTTCGTCTTGCGTAGCTCCTGTCTGTCCCGGTATTGCAAAGGGGTGCGGCGATAATGCGGTGCTTTTGCGCAACCGCTGGTTAATTCGGCACCCATATATGTTAATGTTTGCACGTGAAAGCCCCTGGGGCGCTCGGTTTCGTATCAATCAGCGGCTCTTGGTTGTTGCTTTCTTGTCTATCCGGCGAGTATTCATTCACGTGGTCTTCTGCTGCGGGTATTTTTAAGCGGTGCGGTCATTGAGGGGAGAGTGTGCGCAAAGGTCGCTGGTTGATGGCTCCTGATCGGTAGCCTCACGCGACGATGCCTCACGAGGACGCGCCTGTAATGTGGTAGAGGGGATGATGATGGTATGGAAGGCATTTACTCTCTTCTCCAGGTTGACTTTGAGGGCGGGGGTTGGTAACGTGACGATTGATTGGGCGTTTTGATAGCTCCCCCGTTAACTGACCATGATCGATCGCTCTCACGATACGGGGGCTCCTGTACCAGGGATGAGATGTATTGTTAACATTTGGCACGTGAGGCAGCCGGTATATTCACAGTGATTGCATGTTGATGTTTCATGTAGTAGTTAGTTGAAAGGCTGGGATCGAGAAATGGGCTAGAGCGTTTCCCCTTTCCAGCAGGTTATGCCCGCGAACATTCGGTAGTATCCGATGGTGACGCAAGCACCAGTACAGGTACCAAGTTTACAAGTTTGTTCAGGCAATATATCTACATGTTGTGCGGGTATGTGTCATCCCCATAATTGCGTTTTTTATTCACCTGCAGAGCCACTTGTAAGAAGAAGAGCCGGCTGGTCTGGCATGGCTTTGCGGTGTACGGTTGGTTGCGTGATGCAACATTCATGACACGCGTACGTGCCTTTTGCACGGCAGCCAAGCGCAAAATAGCTTGATCGTGCCCCTTGTACGGACGCACAGCTTGGAGGGAAAGGATGAATTTTGGTGGTTGACTTCTTCTAAGGAGAGGTGGGTTGTTGGTTAATAACCTTGATCGGTCTATCTGGCAACAGGTCATGAGCGTCGCGGGAAATTCGTCGTTAGTCTATTGAACGAGCATCAGGAGGAAATTGGGAGAGGGGTGGCCTTCGGCAAAATCTCGTACTTTTGGGAGCCTTGGTCGACATGATAACCTTGTAATTGCAAGCATATGGATAGATACATGAAGCGCATGTAGGGCGGTTTCGGGTGGTTGATAATTGACCGTCCGGAAAGCTCACGTATTCAAATTGTGTCTGTTTCAGCTTTCCGTTGATCGCGTTCACTTTCGCGTAGTAAGTTTTCTGGCCCTTCGATATAACACGGTGGGCGAAAGAGGAAGAAATAGCGGCGGATCTAACGCGTGCCCCCTGTAATACCATCCCCTTGTGAGCTCTATTTTTGACGAGTATTTGATTAGCACAGGAATGAATACCTCGCGGTTTCGTTCGATATCTCTGTCTGGGACGACATCCAGATGTTTCTCTATGCTGCTCGTTTGTGCGGAGAGATCGGTTTGTATCAGCCGGGTGCGAATGCTGTACAACGGACACTTTCTCTCTTGCTCACACGCACGGCACTGCACACGAACTCCCAAACGCAACCCTCACGCACGCGCGACTCTTGCGCCCAGCCCTCTCGACACCGCATTCACAGTGGTCCGTTGCCTGGCAATCCTGTCTGACCCTAGCTCCCAACGACCCTTCTGCGAGCGTCTGTTCTGCACGGCCCGCACCCCGCCTCCCCACTGCAAACCCCGGGAACAGGGGAGAAACGGCTATTCCATCGAGACCCCGGGGACACGCTGCACTTGACCCCGGAAAACGGCGGGAAAGGTTACTAAGGTGCCTGCTCCCACATGGAAAAGAGAAAAATCCGGGTAATGATCCAGCAGCAGCCCACGACCCGACCGTTAACACAACCCCGCACGAGACCTGTACCTGTCAAACCAGGGCGGATGAGTTTCTTGTCCAACCGACATCAGACAGTGAAACGGCCATCATCGAAGGAGAGAGGCGAAAAATTATGAGCCTGGACAAAATCCACTACATGTAGGCATCGGCCTGTTCGTGTGTGTCTTTTATTATTAGCATCGACCGCGCTTACCGGCTGACCAATGAAAAGACATCAGTCTTAGTGCGGTTGTTCGTGTGTGTGCATATGTAAAAGGATCTGCGGAACGGTTCTGTGGGGACCAGCTGTGGGGACCAGCTGTGGGGACCTGTTGTAGTAGACTTGGATGAGTCTGCGGTGCCCCCATGCTGCGTCAGCCTGTGTGGGGCACTCTCTTTTTCCCCTGTCTGTCGTGCGTTGGTCCTGCGGAACTAATACAAGCCATCGACGAGACTTTCTAGTCCCTGGACACAAATACGGGCATACCCGGCAATCACGCCGGCTCTAGGAGTGGTCAACACTCGAGTTTCTTTCTATCTCCATCGTCCTTGCAAGGAAACAAAAGAGCCCGTGACAGCAACATGTCGGGAGGAGTCTCGCAGGAGGAGCTCGCTGCTAAACTTGGAGAAGTGGAGAGCACGCTGACGGCGCGCTTTGAAGAACAGCAGGCCAAGGCAGAGGGGAGGATGGAGCAGCTGCTCAGTCGCTTCGAGAGCCTTCTGCCCACGCAGCCCACGCGAGACGGAGGAGGAGGAGGGTAACACGGCGCCGCGGTGGACGGGGTCGCCGTGGGGGGTGCGGTTGGAATACCGGAGGGAACCGGGAGGGGTTCCGCCGCAGGGAACCTACCTGAGACTGTGGGCCCCAGCGACGGCTGGGTCAGCGGGCCTGGTCCCCAAGGAGGTCAGATGGCCGCCGGTAGCGATGGTGCTGTTGAATGGGGCGAGCCAGCGGGAGGCGGAGAAGAGCCACACGAGGGCAGCGGAACAGGCTTTCATCACAGCCGACGGCGCCGGGAAGGGCGAAAGTCGCAACTACGCCCGCTGTAAGGGAAACAGCACCGGCAAAGGCAACGGCGACGAGAGCGGTGGGGGCGGGGCGGATAAACGGGCACGCGTCCGGTGCTTCCGATGCGGAAAGATGGGGCATCGGATCGCGGAATGCCCAACAAAGGAAAGCGACATTATGCGGTGCGAGGTTTGCACGGGATTCGGCCACAAAAAGCACCGTTCCCCAATGGAAGAAGAGAAAGCGGTAATAGCGGTCGAAATGTCGCAGGATGAGCTAGACGTTGCGTGCGAAGCCTTGTGAGGTAGGAAACCCACTATACCCAGCCCCAACACTCCACGCCCCCAGATGTAGGGGGGGCGACTTGAGTTCTTGAAACCTGTGCTTTCCAGATGTAGGGGAAGGCACTGACACTGACACGCACTCCCAGATGTAGGGGGGGTTGCGAAAAATTTCGTAGGTGTGCTCTCCAGATGTAGGGGAGGGTACTAAGATGCGCCCCCAAATTTAAGGAGGGTANTAAGGCACTGACACTGAAACGCACCCCCAGATGTAGGGGGGGTAGCGAAAAAAATCGAAGGTGTGCTCTCCAGATGTAGGGGAGGGTACCAACACGCACCCCCAGATGTGGGGGGGGGTAGCGCATATATCGTACAGGTGTTCTCCCCAGAAAAAGGGAGGAGGGCATCAGTATACGCCCTCCAGATGTAGGGGAGGGACGTTCAGCAGTGGTTACACAACAGCGCGCTTCCAGATGTACGGGGGGAGCGCCAGCCGACGCACCCCAGACGTGGGGGGCAGTAGTTCCTTACCCGTGCACCTCCATATGTAGAGAGGGCAGCACGGGTCAACGCTCTCCAGATGTAGGGGAGGGCAGCAGTTCTTCACCAGCGCGCCCCCAGATGTAGGGGGGGCGGCGCAGGTCAACGCTCTCCAGATGCAGGGGAGGACAGCAGTTCTTCACCGGCGCGTCCCCAGATGTAGGGGGGACGACGNAGGGGGGGTAGCGAAAAAAATCGAAGGTGTGCTCTCCAGATGTAGGGGAGGGTACCAACACGCACCCCCAGATGTGGGGGGGGGTAGCGCATATATCGTACAGGTGTTCTCCCCAGAAAAAGGGAGGAGGGCATCAGTATACGCCCTCCAGATGTAGGGGAGGGACGTACAGCAGTGGTTACACAACAGCGCGCCTCCAG